TGCCAGGTTTTGACTACAGATCCCAGCATCCCCATGATGGCTTGAACTGCTCGTTTTCCTCTGTTTGATAGAAAATTAATTTATTTATCAAACAGAATTTGGAAACAAAGGGAGCTTAAGCTAGAATAACAAAATAAAATAAAAGCAGATCAGAATTCTAACGTTATCTTGATGTAGGATGGCTTTGATGAGCTGAAAATGCCAAGATCAAGCAATGGAGCCAAATTTACAATTGTCTCAAGAGCATTTGTCACAAGTTCCTCATCCTCTGTTAACATAGGGAGCATTAGAGTCATTCCATTATAAAAGCATAACCACAGATGCATTGAAGAAATATTTAGCATCATTTCATACTTGAAGGTTGCTAGTTCCTTTGTTCTGAAAAGTATCTCAAATAAGAAAAAAGATATGAATCCCCAAATATGAAAGAAGCATACAAGCAGAAAAGCTCCAAACCAAATTTCAAAATGAATTACGCCTACAAGATTAACACTACCAGTAAAATATGTCCGTAACAGAAAGAAGTTTAACATAACCCTTTTTATTAAGCTACAACATTGGAAAGTTGAATGAAAATAAGAGCTATACATTCTTATCAGTGAGCCGGCTTAAAAGGATATTGTGGTACTTGTATAAGTGATTACCCACAATAAAATCACACCATTAAGTTTTGTAACTGGACATTACTTTGAACTTTTTAAAACATCTCACATATAGATAATTATACTGAATAATGGAAAGTTGAGCTAAGAAATTATATACTGATGACTAACTGCATTCAAGAAATAAATAATGCTTTACAAGACAATGTTTCTCACCTGTAAGGTAATCTTCTATGCATTGGAACACTGTTTCCAGACAATGGCGATGCTGGGCCATAATGACTTCATTATCTGGCATAAAAGAGAAGTTGCGAATGATATTGGAAGCAGCAACAGCACACTGCTGTCTTTCTGCTCGACCTTCTTCATCTAGATTAAACAGACCATCTTCATCAAGCCACCACTCTGAAGAAGAACGAAGTTTGGTCACATTACTCAGCACCGATGCTTCTTGAGAACTGGATCCCAAGCTGCCATGTGAATATTGCCAAAATCAGGTCTAGAATTACTCGTATCAAAGATGATTTTAGACATTCAAACTGGAAATTCACACATGAGAAGACCATAAACCTGTAGGGCTTACCCAGGAAGTGGGAGAGTGCCATTTGAACCTAATGCCTCATACTCATTTCCAAACCCAGTTACAAGCAAATTTGCACCCAAATTTCTGACTCTTGGCGCCTTTACGTGTTCCTTTGGAAGGGCTATATCACGCCAATCATCAATCTGTTAATCACAACAATGTAGTGTGAATAGATATTGTCAATGGATATTCCCACTCCTAATTGTTCATCTGCACTCCTTGATTTGTGTGCTTTAAAGTAATAATATTATGGCTTCTTATCACAAAATGTCCCTAAGGTTTACGAAACTATCAGATTGCATCCTTAATGTTTTTTTGTGTCATTCGTGGTCCTCAAGGTTAGTATGTGTAATCACAAATGGTCTCTGCCGTTAGGTTCCGTAAAAAACTCCGTTAGTTTGCTGACGTGGCATATATATGTATCCTAAAACATCCCTGAGGTTCACGCACCTATCACAAATGGTCCCTGCAATTTTGTTTTAAATTTTTTTCATTTAAAATTCATAAAATTTTGGTTTTCTTTTTTAAATCTTATGAATTTTAAATTATTTAAAAATATATATTGTATTTTTAAATACACATGACACTATATTATTGTAGATGTGGGCTCCACATA